CCCCAAAACCCCAAAACCCCAAAACCCCAAAACCCCAAAACCCCAAAACCCCAAAACCCCGGTTATACTACTTTAAATGGATGGTAATTAATATAATAAAATATACAAGAATATAATGCTATCTGCCAAATCCCTCCTTATACGGAACGTTAAGAATATAACTAAGCTAAGGTAAGCAGTTGGGGACGTTTAAGACTCTATCAGCACTAAGGAACTTCTATCCATCATCATTACTCCTTATCCTTTCTGGTGTGAATACAATCAGGAATAGAAAGACTTAAATTTTACATCTAGGAGTCCAGGATTAAAGCCATATTCATTCATGAAGCATAGATCGTTAACAATGACGCTCCCCTTGAAACAAAAATCTTGGGTGTCAACTTCTGAATTGCCAGCTGCATCAGAGTACACTGACACAGATCTGGACTACTCCTTAGATCATCAGGAGCTGAATGGCTTGAAACACGTCAGTCAAATCAGCTCAACTGCTTTCTCCAAACACCAGCTAGCAGATCTTGAATGTGATGAAGAAAGCTATATTTCCGATTTCGAAAACTTCACTCAAAACAATTTATTCAAGAACTCAATTGGGTACGGCTTACAGGATGAATCACAAAAAGCCAGAGTTTTTGATAAAGAAGAAAGCAAGGAAAATTTTGATGATGAACTCCAACAAAATCTGGAGAACACCCTAATAGACTCAATTAAGGATATCGACAAGACCAATACCCTTGAAAAATTATTTAAAAACTCAAAGTTGTCTGACCTCAGTGGTGAGATTACTAAGATCGCTGGATTCGTTAAGTCCATCCCCATCTTAAAGCCTGAGAGCAGGAAGTCAGCCATGATTTTCCTTGTCAGTTTGGACTATCTGGTCAAAGGGCTCTTCACACACTGGCAGATCACTCTTGCCGATGAATCCAAGAAATTCAAATATTCAAAAATAAGACGGAAAATGCAAGATGATGCGTTAATAATGAAGGATGATCTTAAGTACAACATTCTTATAGGTGACCAGTTCCATGCTATGGCTTATCATCTCACTGCCAGACTGGGTAGCAATGAACTATCTACTATATTAACCAGGATTGAAGAGAACTTTGCGAAGATCATCTTCAGAGATGGGTACAACGGATGAAAGACCCATAACCTTAAGAAATTGTACAAGCATTTTTATAACTATCTACCAACCTTCTTTGGTCAAGGATTCAAAGGAATTGCGATTATCTCAGAAATGAGACCTTCAAGTATCGACCAAAGTTTCAAGTTAGGTATTGAGTACGGATTTTGAATGCAGTTCGGTATTTTCTCCTACATCATGTCGGCCATTGAGAACCGTAGAGAAAAAGAAGTTGTCAAGACCAAACTCAAAAAGATCAGCTCGCTCGTCCAGCTGCTTTCAATCGAAACTCTTCAAGAAATTTTGAACTCAGTGAGCATCCTCAAGTACAAAGACTTTAAGAAGGAGTTCGCTCAGCTTTCAGTGATGCATGCTCACAAGTGATTTGAGATTCTGGAGGAGATGGATGTGGAGGAAGAAATGAGGCTGAAGATGATGGCCCACATTTCTGAATTCACCGACGAGCTTATCATCACGACAGGGGTGAATATACATACCTAAACATGACTTTTTATTTCATTTTAATACTTAGGTCCAATAATCATTCGCGTTTACACTTCTCAACTCCTGGGTCCTCTAAAGGGGTTTTGGGGTTTTGGGGTTTTGGGGTTTTGGGGTTTTGGGGTTTTGGGG